CTGAGAAAGCAAGCCGCCAGTCCGGGACGCCGGCCACACCCGCCACGTGGGAATCCAGTGCCTTTAACCACCACAGCCGCCTGCGGACCCCAAGTCCTGAATTTTTTCGTCCTAAATATAATTTTGATGAATTATTGATTTTCCCATACCTGAGGCCCCCATCTCTCATCTACAGCAGTAGCTTTTTTTCTTTCCACGAAGTACAGCTTTATTGCAAAGCGCAAAGCAAGGAGAGCGAGCAGCTCATGATGAAAAGGCCGGGTCTCCAGGAGCCTAACAGCCTCCGCAGACCTGGTCCTGCCCTCCTCTAATCCGCCCCGACCCGCCGTCACAGCGGGCCTTGCACATGCCCATCGGGTTCGCCCCGGGACTGCTGTTGCGGGGGGGAGTGGGCGGCCTGCCGCTCTGTGCTGCACGCCACCTCTCGGCGGGGGCGCCACAGGCGCGTCTCAACAACATGTAACGGCCGCCCGGGGTAGGGACCGGTCCGGCCCGCCCGTGCCCGGGCTGAACTCACACGCCGCTTCCCGGTGCGTCTCCGAAGAGCTCCCCCTCGGAAACAGAGGCCCTTCTACTTCCGGCAGCGGTGCTCAGTCCCCGCGCCTGTTTCCGGGTAGGCGGCCAGTGGTCCCCAAGGTATTCCGGGTGCCTTGGGGGGAGGATTTCCTGGGCGTCGTCCTGCGCAGGTCAGGGGGACCCCGTCTTCTGTAGCTTGAGCCCACGAGAAGGGGCTGCTCTGTCACTTGCAGCGAAGGAGCTGGAAAGGACCTATGGGCCGCGGCCGGAAACCGAGGTCTGGTTCTGAGCCGTGGGTTGTCCTTAAAGCCTTGCACGTGATGTTATTTCTTCCTGTGCGAGGTATTGGCAGCCATGTGCGCTACTTGTGTTTCCGCTCCCGAGTCCAGTTGTTGGGACAGACGGGAGTCAGTTTGCTTCGTGCCCTTGCGGCGGTCGTGGAGGATCCTTAGGCGCAGACGGCGCTCTGTGACTTGCCTGAGGACTGAAGAGACAGGTGGCAATACGGTGAAGTCAAGCTGTTTATCTAGAGCAGGCTCACAACTTTTTCTACCTTCCACTTTTAACTAAAAAAAATTTTTTTGACAGGTGGTACGAGGGATAGTTAGAAAGCACCCCTGCCCCCACGGGGCATGGTAACTCGCAATCCCTCCTCTTCTCCCTCCTTTTGGAATTGGGCAATGTCGATGGAAAAATATAACCAGCTGTAAAATTAATAATTAATAATTAATGCGGTTTATTTCCAAGCCATCTGTGAGTGACCTAGGCCCAGAAAAGAGGCATACATGCCTTTTTTCAGGGTGATCATGTACAGAGGTTCCTTTTATTTGCTTTTGAGATTGACAGACAACATTTAATTAAAAGATTTCCCATTGGTCTGGCCCAAAAAGGCGGGACATGTAGAAGCAGGGGCTTGGAGGTTATAGGTAGGTTCCACAAATTCTTAGGTCGGTGATTGGAAGGGAAGATCCCTGTCTTGGGAAGAGATTAAAGAAAGGCTTAATCTACATCTTAAGGAAAGGGAAGTAACGTGTCTTGGGAAGAAATAAGCAAAAGAAATACACTAATAGGTTGAAATATACATCTCAAAGATACTATCCCAGGGACAGGAGGTAGGAAGAATCCTGTTAATAGGAAGTAAATGGTATGTTAATGTTTGTGGGCATGACTTCCCCAGTCCCCTTTTGAAAAGATTTTGGAAAAATAGGAAAAGTAGTCAGACTTCTGTCCACAGCAAGCAGAACACACTCCTAAGTCAGCCACGTGGGCTGCAGCTGCCTTCACCACCTGGCCAGAAGCTGGCCCTGGTTTTTCTTTCTTCAGGATTTTCACAGCTTTATCTTCTAGCTATTGACTGTTTTGTTTGTTTGTTTTTACTTTTCTCGTGTGTATTTTTAATTCTTAAGTGCTAGTTCTCATGCTAAAGAGCACGTTTTCCTGGGAAACTGCCATAAAAAAATTCCATTTAAAAAGATGAATCCAGTGCAACTTTATATTATTTGTAAAAGGTTTTTCTGCGTCCAGCTGATGGTGTAGTGGTTACACTGCTGGACTCCTACATGGCTGACCAGGGTTTGAATCCTGGACCTGTGTCTTGAAAATCATGCCAGACCCACGTGCGTGTGTAAGATCCCAAGAGAATGTTTAAGAGATTGCTGTGTAGCCACCCTCCCTGGGGAGTGACTTCTCATTTTCCCAATCACTGTCTCTCCAGTGAGCACATTTTAGAGGCAAAACCTCTTAAATATTTTTGTTTCTTGTATCAGCTGCCCTCATCCCTTTAAATTTAATTTTAACTTAACTCCTTTGTTTATGTCTCTGTCTCATCCCTTAGGTGTTCTTGAAATATCTGGTGACCATGTTTATTGCCTACCAGTCCATACTCAAGAGTGAAGCAGCCGCTGATGGAAGTTCTAGTGTTGTTATGGTGGAGTTGTGATAGGGTGGTTTAGGCTACTTTCCTCTTGCTGCATGTATTTAATATTTTTTCCATTCTGAGTTTGTCATCTTTCCCATTTTTTTTTTAAGAGGGCACATGTGCTCTCCAGAGAGGAGAAAGCATTTCTTATGGGGCATGGTCATGCTGCAATCCCTACTCCCATTTCTCCCTTTTTTGGGATTTTTGGCATGTAGTTACACATGCCTGGTTGTTTCTCTAGCAGCAGGGTCTGGGACTTAAACTGCACAGTTGGCCATGTGGAATCTAGCATGTTTTAAATCCTTAAATTGTTTTTCTAGCCATTGCGTGGGTGGTGTTTTTTGTAGGGAGTAGAGAGATAGGCATGAGTGTAATCACAGAATTTTGGAGAAGGGATTGTGGTGTGGCTACCCCCCGGGGTGGAGGTTTCGGGGTTGGTGATTTCTCACTTTTCCTTTGTCTCTTTCTAGCTAGCACACTCTCAAGAGAAGGGGATTGCGGCATGGCCATCCCCTCGGGGTGATTTCTCGCTTTCTGTCTCCCTGTCTTTCTGGTGAGCACACATGCCCTATAGCAAAAACCTCTCAAAAAAAAAAAATCAAAAAGTGGCAATATTAAGTATATTATTTAGCTATGGAGTAAAATACTAGATTATGCAAAAATACTTAAACTGGTTACTTTTGGAAAATAACCAGGGGTAAGTGGACTGCTCTCTTCCATGTAATATTGGTAGAGCTATCTGAATTTTAAATTATTCATCTGTTTTTTAAAATAATGATTCAAAAAGCCTAAACAGATTGTTAAAGCCTTTTTAAAAGGGTTTTGACGAGTCCTTTGGCTCAAGGCCTTTTGATGGTGCGGTGCATGCAGAAGTCAGGACCAGTGTGGTGACAGATAAATCAGACACGAGATCTCAAATGGTGACTAGTTCCTTTATTTAATATTCATCACTTTGCAAGTAACATTTTTTTTTTAGATATTTCTTTCATGAGTGAGAGAGAGACAGCACCTCAAAATGACCTTCACTCTGCAATCTGCCCCAGCCTCAACCAGCCCTGATCATGGGCACCTATGTACCCTGCACACTCATGCAGGTCACCAGATGCAAACCTAGAATCTCCCCACATGGGTCAGCCTCACAGAGCATTGTGTTTTAGCAGGACTCTGCAACTCCCAGATGGAGACTTTAACAGCCATGATAACTGAAATGGGGCCTACAGGGGGGCACAATAAGGTCAAGAACATTTTGTTCAAGGTGGCAGTGCTTACAATGACACTTGTGCTGGCAGTGTCCTCAGAAGCTGCTTGCCAAGGGGCTCTTCAACACAATTAGACTAGTTGTTCTTTTTTGCCTCACTAGTTGTCTTTCTCCAGTTTCTTTACAAGTGGGCCTTCATGATTTCTGAGGGAACAGTTCCTGGGGAACTGTTTTGGCAGGAACTTCTGTATCTTGGCTACATGTGGTAGTAGAGAAAAACTATGAGCCATCATTAGATGACCTGAGTTAATTAGATGCAGACAGGAAGAGGTGAGTTAGAGGTCAGTTCCACATGTTCATATAAAAGAAAGAACTATCAAGTGTAGTATCAGATACTTTATGATATAAACCCTCAAAACCAGAAGCTTACAAAAATGAAGCCAAGTTGCCCAAGTATTCATCAAATATCTCAACCATGTGTCATGATGACGAGACACTTCCTTGTGAACACCCTCCCAAAAGGATGTGTCTGCATGTTCAGAGGTAAACCAGCAAAATCGACAATTCAGAAAAAGTCAAGGTAAGTCACCACTGGGAGGCACCCGGAGAAAGATCCCGGTTGTTCAGTAACACCACAGTTTTCCCAGATATCCTGGGCTAATGGTCAGACCTTACTCTGTTCATTAAGCAACCTTTACATACGTTTCAAGTTTTCTGGATAGTTCTGCCCCAGTTGATGACAACCACCCTGTCAGGGAAACTACATGCTGTAATTTAATAAAGCAGAACTTTGCTTTATCAGTGTCTCTTACTCAACTAACAATGCCTAAAAGTTTATCCATTTCTGTGTTAGATGACAATTCAGAGAAAGAAAGCTGATTAAATCCCATAATCATCTACCAAGGAAAAAAATACTTAATCATAAAAATACAGTTATAGTGGCAAGATTCTAAAGAAATGGTCTTCTAGGTAGATTTTAATAGAAATTTTTAACAGTTGAGGAGGAAATAGCCTTCATGACTAGGTCAATAATATAATAAGACACAAACACTAAAACTTTCTGTATATACACACACTCATACCACAAGTCTAGTCAGAAGGAAATACACAGAAAAGAAATATTTTTAAAAATATTTGTAAGGAAAGTTCTTAATACTTTGTCAGTTCTAAAATACCACTTTCCTTTAGAAAAAGATTAAGCCTGGAATGACAGATTTTTTTTCTTCCCGCACTGCTGTAATTACTGCAGATTTACCACCAAAGAGGTAAATATCAGTATAATTTTCCCTTGAGCTTGAACACAAAAGGGAACAATAAAATAGATTTAAAAACCCTCATTTAACCTGATTAAAGTCACTCCAGCTATCTTAAAGAGCCCGGCTCTGGTCTCCAGGTAGATTTCCAGGAAAGGTTTGCATCACTAGGTGTGTCCCCAACAGGCTGGGTACAGGAGTCCATGGTAACGGTGAGGATTCCATCAGGACTGGGCATACTGTTCTGGCGTGCTTGACTGGCACCTGGTTTCGCATGCCAAGAATATCTCCCTTGTGAAAAGTTCTCTCCAGGGGGCCCAGGAGGAGGGTTGGGGACTCTCCGGTAAACATATGGATTCTGTGAAAATTTTCTTAAAACAGAAGGTAATAAATGATTATTAGGATTACTACAATAGATAATAAGCTTTATAAATAATACACAGATATTCTGGTTCTACTGCTTCCTATCTGTGTGACTACAACAGACAAATTACTTAATTGAGACACAACACCGAAATGACCTCCAGTGCCCTGGCACACGGCAGGTGCCAGGAGCCTTTCCACTTCACCCTATAAAGAAATATGCAGGCTCACACTGTTCCAATCAGACACTCTCTCTCCAAAAGTCTGGTAGGGCTGACATAAAACAGAATAAACTAGTAATGAAAACAGCTGCTTTCACTTTATAAATTAACAAACATATATGTAAATTCATTATAAAGTATAGAGAACTCTAACCATGGTACATGCAACAATTTGGGAAATATTTGTAATTGTTTTGAAAGCAAGATAAGCAAATCTAAACATACAAAAGAACATTTGGTAATCTGAGAAAAAAATAAAAGCACCTATAGCTTTCAACTCCACTTAATGTAATTCAACTGATCTATATACTGCTTTTTGATCTTCTAGCATTTTTTTTTATTGGACTGGTAAGCCATAACATATTACTTTCATTTATCATCAGTGAGCTCACGCTTTCTTTTTTAAAGAATCATTTTACTTAACTTCCACAGAGAGACAATAAGAGTGAGAGGGAGAGGGTAAGAAAGCAAGCCACCAGGTCTGGGACTCAAACCACGGTCAGCCAAGTGGGAATCCAGCACCCTCAAACACCACACCACCTAATGGCCCCATGCAAGTTCTTTCTTTCAGTGGCTTTATAAAATGTTTATAGTATAGGGACCAGCAGTTAGTGTAATGGCTGTATCGCTATCCTCCCATGTAGTCGACTGCGGTTTGAGTCCCGGACCCGGTGGCTTAAATTCATGCTGGGTACATGTGCGTGCATGCCCAAGAGAAGAGAATGGAGAAGGGATTGCTGCATGGCCATCCCCTCTGGGAGTGATTTCTCACTTTCTTTCTATCTCTGTCTTTCCGGTGAGCACATGCGCCCTTACAGCAAAAACCTCTCAAAAAAAAAAAGAAAAGAAAAAAAATGTTTATAGTATGGATATAATACTAACTTAGCTGTATCACCCACTGTTAAAAACATAACCTACTATTTAAAAAAAAAAAAAAAAAAAGGAATACTGGCTACTACTAGTTTTCCCACTGCCATAAAATAACACTGGGACTGACGTCTCGGAACGTACACTACGATGTCCTGAGTATCTACCCCCAGCGTCTGACACACAGCAGGAAATTTGAGAATTGTGCTCAGTGATCAATAGGAGATACAAGAGCCAACACCACAGACACCTCAATTGGTTTAACTTACACATTTCTATTATAACAGAACATCAATTCTTCATTATCATAATGTACAGTACCAATTTTTTATTGTCAGTTTATAGTATCAATTGCTATTTCAGTTCTAGAAAAGGAAAGCACAGGTACCTGACTGGCTGCTGCAAATTTGGGCACTGGGTGTGGAAATGCCAAGGTGTTGGGTAACCTCGAGTCCGATGTAGGTTATACCTAGGTACTTTGTTAACAGACATATTTGTGGAGTAGACTGGTTCCATGAGGTGTCCTGAGTCTTCAAAAGCAGTTGACCTGGATGCTCCAGAATTCCAATTCCTCAAAAGAGAATATTTCCACAATATCACTGGTTTGCAAATTAAGCAGCCTATTTACTGACTATATTTTGGCCTACGAAAATAACAACCCCTTTATCCCCTGTTCCTATTAGGTTACGGTCCCCCCAGCAGGTAAACAAGCACCCAGAATAATAGATGTATGCAACTTAAATTACGTAAAACGAGATCTGCCTAACTGCAAATCTCACACATGAAACACAGAACTTACTTTCTGATAGGACCATTCTGAAGGTCTTCAATGTAGTTTTGTCTTTCTAAGCAATGTCCTCGGCACCTATTAAATACTGGGGAAGGTATGAACTGTTAAAAATAACCGCATGAAAAGCAAATCTTTCTCAAAGAAAGGAACAAAGCTGAAATTTACTACCAATTATTCAGGCTGTATGTCTCACTACAGCACCCAGATACAACTGTTTTTTTTTTTTTTTTTTTTTTTTGTGAGGTATTTGCTCAAAGTCAGAAAGCAGGCTGCCAGGTCCAAGACTTGAACCACAGTCGGCCATGTGGAAGTTCAGAGCCCTTAACCACCATGCCACCTGCTGGCCCCTTTATTTATTTTTTAAAGGACAGAAAATGGAAGTGGGACTAAAATACAAAGCCAGTTTTTTTTTTTTTGAGAGGTTTTTCGCTAAAGGGCGCGTGCGTTCGCCAGACAGACAGAGAGAGACATTAGAGATAGAAAGCGAGAAATCACCCCCCAGGGGGGATGGCCATGCCGCAATCCCTTCTCCTCCATTCTCCTCTCAGGATCTTGGGCACGCACGCACACACGCCCGGCGTGAGTTTTAAGCCACCGGGTCCAGGACGCGAACCACGGTCGACTACGTGGGAGTCCAGCGACATAGCCATTACGCTAACTGCTGGTCCCTACAACTGTTAAACTAAACTATTCTGGCCTAAAATGGCTGATGTACTTTCACATTTGGATCCCTCCAGGTAAGCTGAAATCGTACCTGCTAGGCTGGATTTTTTGTATTTTCGAGCTGGTTACTAAGCCACAGCCAATCACACTAGTCACATTTAAGCCGGTCACTGAAAGCCCATGTTTTAGCCTGTTTGTGCAGCCTACTTTGTACTTATAAGCAATGATCTATCTCCCTCCCTCACTTAAGTTTCTGTACGACGCTTTCCCTTTGCTCACTGCACACATCACCTTCCCGTTCCACCCACATATACTCCCTGTAAACCTCGCAGCTAGCTATAGTCTATCGAAAGCCATCTTCCAGGAGGCTACCTAATTTAAATCACCTGCCCTTTGTTTAAACTGTTTAATTTTGGTTTGTCTAAATTTGTTTTTAACAAGCTACTTATGGCAAAAGATCATCTCATATCAGAACAAATGAATTACGAGCTTTTTTTCTTTCATAACTTGACAAATTCATCTGTATTTTCACCTTTAACTTTTACAAAAAGGGACAAGTAGGGACAGCCCTAATACTTACATTCAATTGCATCATCTGGCTTCATGCCTTCTACATCAATCAAGTATCTGAAAAAAACAACATAATTATTTGCATTAATATAATTAACTCATTATGAAAGAAAATGCAGATCAAACCGGCAGACATTAAAAAGGTATCTTAACACAATTCAGCAGTTCTTTTTGAACAAAATGCTTTGTACAATAAAAACAGAAGAATTCCTTAATATGACAGAGTATCAGGAACCTACAAGAAAGAGACAAATTGGGAAAAATATTAGCATCGTATCTTAAAGAATTCTGCATAGGACTGGCACCTTAGTGTAGCAGCTAAGTGCTGCCTAGGGAACCAGATACCATATGGCCAACCATGGTTCAAATCCCAGCACCAGGGGCTTAAAAAACATACTGGATATGAATATGCATGGCAAAATTGGGACTGGATATAGAAATGGACGAAAAGGGACAGCAGTGTGACTGCATCTCGGGGGGGGGTGCTCTATCTCTCTGGTAAGCATACGTTTTATGGCAATTAAAAAAAATTTTAAATGTTGTGTAAACAACTGTATGGACCTGAAACTTAGGGGGACAATTGCTATCAGTCACTTCTCCCTTTCTCTCATTGTCAAGTCCTGACAAAAGGTACTACCTCTCACTAGAAAATGCCCCTACCTTCCCATCAAAGTGACTGCCACACCCTGGTCCAAGCGACTATTATGCCTCAATTCCTTCAAAAAGCCTCCTAAACTGGGAACCAGCAGTTAGAGTAATGGCTATGTTGCTGGACTCCTAAGTAGTCAACCGCGGTTCGCGTCCTGGGCCTGGTGGCTTAAAACTCACGCCAGGTGCGTGTTCGTGCGTGCCCAAGATCCCGAGAGGAGAATGGAGCAGAAGGGACTGCGGTGTGACCATCCCCTCTGGGGGATGATTTCTAGCTTTCTCTCTCTGTCTGGTGAGCGCACGCGCCCTATAGCGAAAACCTCTCCAAAAAAAAAAAAAAGTCTCCTAAACTTATCTCCTTGCTTCTCTACTTTTTTCTCTTAATAATGTATCTCCACTCACTAGTAAAATGATAGGTTAAGGTACCAGCAGGTAGCATGGAGGATAAGGCAGCTGAGTCTGACATGGCTGAATGTGCAGTTCAACTCCCAGACCTGTTGGCTTGAAAATCACACTTGGTGCATGTGCACACATGCCCAAAATCCCAAGAGGGGAATGAAGAAAGGATTATGGTGTGGCCATCCTGTCCCAACCCCTGCCCAGGAGTGATTTCTCACTTTCCCATGCTCTCTCTCTCACAAGCACATGTGCTTTATAGCAAAAACAAACAAAAAGTCAGGTTGAAAATGCAAATTTATATTCAACACTCACCCAATACTAGGACCAGCAGGTGGCACAGAGGTTAAAGTGACTGGATCCCACAAGGCCGACTTCATAGTTTAAGTCTCGAACCTGGATGCTTGAAAAACATGCCGGGTGGGCATGCCCAAAATCCCTAGAGAAGAAAGGAGAGGGATTCTGGTATGGCTACACCCCCTGGGGAATGATTTACTTTCCTCCTCTCTCTCTGGTGAGCACACATGCCCTATAGCAAGAAAAATAAAAACAAAGATAAAGACTAAACCTTAACTACATCTCGTGCCCTAGCTCCTACCCATACTTCCAACTCCATTTGAATGCCATACTTCCCTCCCAGCCCAGCCTCCATAGCTAGTTCTTCCAACACAGTGTGTGTTTTCTTGTCACCAGGTCTTTGCCGTTCCTTATGTCCAGAATTCTTTCCACAATGTCCCTACTTGGTTGATACCTATTCATTCTTCAGATATTTGCTCAAACTTCCCCAGGGAACCTTTTAGCTCCCTTGGTGAGGTCAAACCCTCCTTATTATGTACTCTTCTTGTACCGTATCTATCTCCTGAACACCTGTCAGACTGTAATTCTGTACACATTTGTGGTATTCTTATCTATTCCCTCTCTAGACTGTTAGGATTCACAAAGGGCAGGCATGCCTCTTTGCTAGTACAATGCTTACACATAACAGATGCTCAATTAATACTTTCTGAATAAACAATCAAAAATCAGTACAGCATAGCACTATCCATAAAAAAAATAAATAAAAGTGAGGAGGACTAGCCAGCTAGTTGAGGCAGCTGGATCTCATGCCAAATGCAGTTTGAGTCCCATACCTGGTGGTCTGAAAAGTATGCCAGGTGCGTGTGTGTGCATGCCCAAGATCCCAAAAGACTGCAGAAGGAACTGTGGCAATGGCAACCCCCCAACCCCCCACCCCCGGGGTAGTGCTTTTTCACTTTCTCTCTCTCTAGTGAGTACACGTATGTGCTCAATAGCAAATGAAAGGAAAAAAGACCTCCAAAAAAAGGAAATTATTTCTGGAGGAATGGCATATGTATTCAAAGATGCTCATAAAGGAATGCTTACTACTTCAACGTTTTATAATACCAAAAACTTTTTTTATAGTCACTAAAGGAAAAATGCAGCTCTTAAAGAACAAGTCTCTGCTAAGCACAATGGCTCATGCCTGCATCCCCAGCTACTTCGGAGGCTGAAGCACATGGATGGTAAGTCTGAGGCCAGCCTGGACAATATATCAATAGTAAGACCCTGTCTCTTAAAAGAAAAAAAAAGCCCCCAAGTAATGTTATTTTCATAGAAAGATGTCTGCCACGTATTAAATTATAAATAAAAAAGAACACCTAACTTTTATACCATTAAACTATATATGTATTTGCTTATATCTGCATCTTTAAAGTCTGAAAATATAGTTCTAAATTATTTATGGTGGTAATCTTTGGGTTGGGGACAAGGTTATTTCTACATCATACATTTCTATACTGATGGCAATTTGTGCAACAAGCTTACATTATCACCATAAACGGACAAAACAACTTAAACACGGATGGCTCTGGGGCTGAGAACTCACCTGCAAATGAGGTAGCCAGTCCTGTTTAAACCATGAGTACAGTGGATGCCAATGAGTTTGTCTATATAAAGGAAATATAGTTAAGTAACTGAAGAAGATACACTGAAAATGAGTAATATCATCTTCCCAAAAATAACTTCCAAATTACCATGACATTGACTCTTCTAAAAAGGAATAGCTCTGAAGAGGAATGTGTTTTTAGAAATACACTTTAAGGAACCACCAAATACAAAGCCAAAATGTACTGTCTCTGGGAAATTTTGCAAAGCCCAATTAGTCCATGATGTAAACTACAGAAGGCCTGGTCAGTTACTAAGTGAAACTACAGAGACAACCCCCTTATCTTAATATAGAACAAAATGTCCCTCAGTACTTGATTTAATTAGAGAAAAAAGTGGAGGGGGAAAAAAGAGGTAGGGGGCTATGAGAAGAATGAGCTAAGTTCCTGCATCAAACAAATGGAATGTCTTCACTTTTGATACTGAATAGTGCTCCAGTCCCAGTTTGCTGTTCCTCACAGACCACAGGTTGTTGTCTTGTGAGGTGCTTAGGTAAACAGCACTATTCATATTTTACAACAAAAAGGTGAGGCTTGGACATGTAAACCCACGCTCCACAGCAGGCAAGAGGGAAAAAAACATAGAATCAAGTCTAAGATATCAATTACGTCACATTTCTCTTTTCATTTTTTTTTTAATCAGAGGGTACATATACTGAGAGCAAGACAGTGGTGGGGAGAGAAAGAAAGCAGCTCCTGCGGTATGTGGTCACACCATGACAATCCCTTCTCCTCCATTTCTCCATTCTGTCAGGATTTTGGGCACCCACACACATGCACCGATGTTTTTTTAAAGTGGCAGGGATTCAAACTGCAGTGGGCCATGTGCTCTGGGGCTCCCTCAAATACTAGGCTACAGGGCCAGTCCAAAAGATTAAGAGATGTAATTTTTCTTCCACCTCTCACCCAATATATAAGACAAAATGGCATTTTAATTTTATATTTCCCATTCAAAAAAGATGTTTTAAGTTTATTTTTTCATTCCTTCAGAGAGACACAGGAAGACTCCCAACAAGGTCTTCACACTGTGATCCATCCCCAGTCTCAGCCAGCCCAGATCCTAGACACACACACATACATAGGCCCAGATTCTCAGGAAGGTCCTGGGATGTGAACCCAGAATCCTTTCCATGTGGGCCCAGTTGCATTACCACTGCACCACCACCTGGAGCTCCAGTCAATTCTTTTAAAAGAGATGGGTGAAGGATGGTCCTGTAGCCTGGTAGTTAATGGAGTGGAATCCTACACAGCTGACTGTAGTTCAAATCCTGGCTCCAGTGACTTGAAAAACATGCTGGACACACAGGATGGAGAAATGGAGTAGGAAGTACAGCGTGACCACGTCCCCCACCCACTCTGTCTCCCTCTAGTGAATGTGCATCCCCTCCAGCAACTTTAAAAAAAGAAAAAAAAGAGATGAGTGAGTTAGATGAGTTCATATTCTTCACTAAAATCATTTTCCAAAGTAAATTGTCACCAACAAGAAATACCACACCTTTATTAGCACTATCTGACATTTTCACCTTAACATCAAATATGACAGGTCTAATATTAGATTAAAAATATCAAAAATTTTCAACCCCACTGAAAACACACAACAAAGTTCACATAAGAAAAAAAGAACTCACTGTTATCTTTATTTTCTTTCAAAAATCCATTAACAGCACATTTGAATTTAAAAATAGTGTCATCATTGGGTATCTGATGACCAGCTGTAAAAATTTTTAAATAAGGAACAGTTTCTGGAAAATCCTATAAAGGAAAACAATGAAAAATACATATTATTTAATTTGTAAGGAAAGGACTAAAGATTAATTAGAAGAGTCTGAACATAAACCAAGAGATTGTAACAAACTTAGTATGTCAGCAATTCTGATAAAAGAGCCAGTGGTGATTAAGGCACTGGAATTCCACATGGCTGATCATGGTTGGAGTCCTGGGGCCTGGCAGCTTAAAAACATGTCAGGAATGTGTGTGCGTGCCCCAGTAAGGGGTGCTTTCATTCCCCCCTCTCTCTGGCAAGCGCACATGCCTCTGGTGAAAAAATAAAAAACAAAAAACACTGGGAAAAGAAAGTACAGAACTTAGAGACCAACTGTCTTTTACCAGGATGTTTTCACATGCTCAGGAAAATGCTTAAAATGCTAAAGACAAAATAGGTATTCCTCTCTTTCCTGTCATGGCCACTACTTGTCTTACCAAGTTTACTTCATTTTCCAAAATACAGAATATGGAAGCTTACAGAATTTCTTAGGCACACAAAGAGACCACTGCCAAATATCACAGTTCACGTCTTATCTTCAATCTCATTTTGAGGCAATTAAAAATGTAACTGGACATGGGACCAGCAGTTAGCATAAAGGCTATGTTGCTGAACCCCCATGTAGTCGACTGCGGTTCGAGTCCCGGACCCGGTGGCTTAAACTCACACCGGGTGCATGTGCATGCGTGCCCCAGATCCTGAGAGGAGAATGGAGGAGAAGGGAAGGTGGCATGGCCAACTCCCTGGGGGGTGATTTCTCGCTTTCTGTCTGTCTCTCTTTCTGGCAAGCACACGTGCCCTATAGAAAAACCTCTCCACAAAATAAATAAATAAATAAATGTGATTGGACCAGTAGATGGTGTATTGGTTACACTGCTGGACTTCCATGCAGTAAACCATGGTTCAAGTCCCAAATCCAGTGGTTTGGCCAGGCCCATGAGACTGCATGCCCAAAATTCTGAGAGGAAATGGAGGAAAAGGGATTGTGGTGTGGGCATCCCTCCTTCGGGGTGATCTCTCATTGTTTCTGTATCTCTCTGTGGCAAGCTCACGCACCCTATAGCAAAAAAAAAACAAAAAAAACAAAAACCCTCTCTTAAAATATTAAAATATGGGACCAGCAGATAGAGTAAGGGTTACATAGCTGGACTCCTACATAGTTGACAGTGGTTCAAGTCCCAGACCCAATGGCTTGAAACTGAGACTGGGAGTGTGGATAAGAAAAAAAAACCCAAGAGGATTAACAGAGGAGAAGGGATTATAGCATGGCCATCTCACCTGGGAGGGGATTTTTTGCTTTCTCTCTCTCTGGCGAGTACACGTGCCCTATAGCAAAAATCTCTTCTCTCAAAAAATAATAATAGATAAAAACATGTAATTAGAAAATCATTTACTTATTTTCCTATTACTGTGAATTATTTTAGTATCAGAATTAAGAAAGTTCTTTTCAATTAACAGTTCCACTTACCTCTGGTTTATAATAACGTTGAGTATAGGTTAAATCAATGATCAATCCAAGTTCCTCTTCTTGTTCTCGGATTTTGTTAAAAAGATCCAAAGGGGAGAAGCATTCTTCTGGAGTAAGATTCTTCTCAAAACTCTGTCAGAGAACATGAAATATGAGCAAATGTATGTTTCAACTCCTAAATTCTCTTTTTAAGCCCTGTGACGCTAACATAAAATAAGATTCAAACGGAAGGTTCTACTCTTCTAGAATGTAGAAGCTATAGTATACTCCTTTCCTCCAGAGTGATCAGAAGAAAACATGCTCATTTCTATGTATTTACCTCTGTGGGTTTATTTCATATTGGGCTCCTAATCAGACCATTCACTCCCACGAGGCTGGGACTGTATCAATTACGCACTACGGTATCTCCAGCTCAAAGTAGAGTGCCTATTACATTTAATACTTACAAATATTTCTTAAATGTCTATACATAAGAAAGATGGCTTCTGTTGCTAAGTATTTATTCACGTACTTAGCTTATTCCTGGACTTTGTACTCTGTTACATGCATTTATGTATACACACCCACACATGTCTATAAGTGTGTGTATATAGTGTGTATATATAAGTATAAATACATATAATTTTTTTCATTAACAGACTTTAGTATTTAGGACAGTTTTAGCATCACAGCAAAACTGAACTGAAAGGATAGTTCTCACAAGTACTTATGTTTCTTTCCTTCACCATCTCAGACTGCCATCAATATTCTATATCATCTGGCCCATTAGTTACAATCGATAAACCAACTGACACATCCTTCACCAAGTCCATAGTTTACATTACGTCTGTAAACATTCTATGGGCTTTGACCAATAAACTGTGATATACATCCACCCTTATAGTATCATATCAAATAGTTTTACTGCTCTATTTCCTTTGTTCCAACAACAACTTTTAATATTACATAATATCTGGTAGATGAACCCCCTCCCTCCAGAATAGTTTCAGAATCAGACTAATTTTAAAAATTCCTACTGAGATGTTATTAGATTTATAAATTAACTTAGAAAAGTCTGACAGATATATGATATTGAGTCTTCTACATAATATTGTAAAAATTTTTGAAAAATAAATTAGTTACAAGGCACATTATCTCTCCAGTTTCTTAAAAACACTTGGAACTTATGGATCAATCATCTCTACCTATCTGAACAATAACTAACCTTAGAGGGGCCGACCCCGTAGCGCAGCAGTTAAGCGCTGTGCAGAGGAAGCCAGATCCCATATAGCCGACCAGGGTTCAAGTCCAGGCCCTGGCAGCTTACACACCGGACAGGGGCAGGCACACTTGCACATGCCCAGGATCCTGATGAGATGGAGAATTGGAGGAAAAAGGATTGCGGCGTGACCAGGCCCCGTTGGCGGGTGCTTTCTCTCTCTCTCTCTCCCATGAATGCATACACCCTCTGGCACAATAAAAGAAAAAAAATTACAAATAAATAAATAAATAAATATTCTTAGATAACTAATTTAAGCCATAAACCCTTTAAAAAGTTTTCTGTGATTAACTCTAGTCACTGCTCTCTCCTTTGAATTCCAAAGTATTTGTCATAGCACTTAACACTTGATGTATCATATTCCAGTACGCTTGAAAAGCGACCGTCAAGTCTCGAAGCTGTCTTCCTTTAGATGATGTTCATAAGAGATGCAGGGAACCAATGACATGTTTCACTGCCACACAAGGGTACTTCATCTCCCGAACTCTACAGCATGTACAGGGACTACAGTCGGAGCAAGCTTACGTCTTTATAAACCCTGATGCTTTATACACAATTTGAACACTGAGTGAAATGTGAAGGTACCTGGATGAACCCTGAATAATGACATCATGTATGAAAGATCTATGGCTGTGTGGGGGTAAGTACATGGATTTCTCTTCTTTCAGGCAAGGGGTTGAGTGAGTAGGGAACCTTCTGAAGGAATAGAAATTCACTTTTAAAGACCCTTGACTAGAGACTTGGGAAGTTAGGACAATGAGATAAAAGGAGTATCATAATATTTGTAGGAACTACAGATGTGGGGGTGGGGGAATCCATTCTTTTAACAAAGATTTGTTAGGTATTACACATCAAACTCTATGTGGAATTGGTGGATCCGGGTGTGAATAAGAACTATGTGTTCTTTTTGAAATGACCTAAGTTTTACATCGAGACATAAAAAAGCTGACACAGCAGATGAAAAAAGGAAGGCTGACCTATGATTAACAAACGATAAATTCCCAACATATTTCAGGGAGGCCTTTCCTGATGCTAACCCATACTATGCGAAGCAAATGTAGTAAGACATGGGATCTGGAAGACATATTTATCTTCACTTCACTTTTCTTGTGACATTTTTTTGTCTGTGAAATGCTTTCATCGCCTATTTTTTTTCTAGTTAAAACAAAAACACAACCTTCACAGGCTCCATTCTGAAATCTTGGTCTTGCTGATCCAGGGCTTCCCCCGCTCCCCCCGGGGTGGGGGTGGGGGGGGGGGGGGGCAGTGGTGACAATGGGAGGGGAGGG